TGGCTGAGCTCCTTGTCGTAATTGTTGCTGTAGTTTCCTTTTTGCTCAGTGTTTGGCGGTGCCTCACGGAAGTGCCGGGCCGAGCGGCGGACCGGTGTGAGAACAGTGTCGACACCCAAAGCTGGAAAGGTGGACGATTTATTTCGTTAGTTACGTGTCGCCCATGATAGGGGCCGAAAACGAATTTTTAGAGACAGTACCTTCACGGTCCTTCTTCTTGGCCCTTACGGGCGTCAGCACCGTAACGGTCGATCCTTCTTCCTGCCCATATTTGACTCCAACCGTTTTCGGCGTATCTTTGCCCTTTAATTTTTCGACAATCCTGTCCTTGATGCCCCATTCCAGCTCCTTCTTCACATCCTCTGGAGCCGGCGTGGACCTTTGCAACTTCTTTGCAATCGACATTTCTCCCAGCATATCAACAACTTCCCTAAGGGATTCTTCCTTTCGAGCCGTTGGAATTGGGGTCCGTCCCCTTTCTCCTCCTTCGCTGTTGTCTGAACGGAACCACGCGGGAGTGGTAGGGTTTGTCTCAAAGCCCCCGGCATTGATGTTGGGCGTCTCGCGATCCATTGAGCCGTTGAAATAATCGGACGGACCGACGGGTGTTTCCGGGTACAACGGGTTGGACGACTGCAGCAGGTGCTGAGGAGGAGGGAACGGCGAGGCGGAGAACATGGTCGCCGACGATGGGCAAATGGAATGCTGCTCCAATTCTGCTCTGACCTCAGCTTCCCTAGCCATACTCCGTTGTTGTTCCTCTTCCGCGCGATATTGCTCTAACAACCCAGCCAGAAGGTATGGGGATGTTTGCACCGCCATAGTGACGAACTTTGACGACCTCACAGGCGTTTTCTGCCTGAAAGATAAGAAGGCTTAGCGCTGGCCTAAAATGCATCACATACAATCGGGCAACGCAGGTAGATCATATACTTACAGTTTCGGCGCGGACATATTACCTCTGACGGGCGTCTCATCCATCCTCAGATTGTCGAGCCGTTCCTGAATAGTGCACATGCCACTTTCCACACTTTCCACGCCAAAGTTTCCGGCTCCCGCTTTGCTTTCATCCTTCGTCTTGCGGGCAGACCCGACGGTCGGCACTGGTTCTTCCGCAGGCTTAGGCGAGTTACGAATCTGAGCGACTGCCCCAGCCAACCATGAGGACGATGCATCCGCCTTCAGTGTTTCCGCCGAAATGTATAAATTAGGTTTATTCGCTTGAGCATTCGTAGAAGCGGCTCCGGAAGCGACGGTGGTGGATTTGGCGGATGAGGTTTTGGGAATGGATCGCGTGGGTAGATTTGAAGAGGAAGCTGCCTTTCGAAGCACAGGCTGTTTCGGTCTGGCAGGGGCAGAAGTGGCGGTAGTGTTTGCTGTCGCGAATGGCTTTGGTTTTGTTGGAACTCGGGCCCTTGTAGTTCCTGCCGCGTTTGGGAGTTTGGTGGGCGGAGCTTTGCTTGGCACAGTTTTGGGTATATCTGGGTGATCGAAAATCAGTAACGAAGGGCCGACAGTGTAGAACAATGCGGTGGTGGCCTTACCAAGAGGGACGCCGTCATTTGCAGAAGACTGAGAATCTGTCTTGGGCGGTGCGGCAGAAGGTTTCTTCGCAGGTGGCTTCTTCGTCAACCTGGAGACATGTGGTGAAGAGGCAGTGCGTTAGGTTTGTGGGCTGTTGAGGCAGTGGTGGAAGTATTCGTTGTACCCGGACATACTTTGCTTTCTCTTCCTCCCTCCTCCTTTTGAACTCTTCCAGCCTTCGTCTGAGGGCAGCCTGCGATGCAGTTTCCCCCGGGAGAAGGTCGTTCTCTTTGTTGTTGTTCATTGTATGTCGTACGGCCGTCTCGTACAGGGGCGCAGTGAGTTGGGTTGTACCTAGGTTCCCAATTGAAGTGGTTGGGTTGGTTGCCTTTTGTTGTGGAGGTGGGGGATCTCTTTTGGAGATGGGTTGCGTTTGGCGAAAGAGATTGTGTGTGTGAAGTTTGCAGCTTCCAACTCCAAACACAAAAACACAAACGCGTTCTTGCAGCGAAGCATGTCCGACAGTCGGACATGGAGGCTTGCTGCAGCAGCCACACAAGCCCGCAGCTGAGCTGTGATCAAATTGCCTTCTCTTCCCTCCCGCACCCTGGACCCCCATCTTGTCATATAATTACTTTCAACATGAACGCAGCAGAGGAGGTACTTACGGAAACCTCAACCCTTTTTGGTCACGCCATTGCACTGCACAACGATAACCTTATTTCGTATTTCCTGGCGAAACTTCACAGCTCAAATTCGCAACCCTTTTCCTTCACCAACTGGCGTCTCGCCCGGTCAAATTCGCACAAACCTATTGCCCTCACGTATCCACAATTAAGCGCGTCCTTCCGGAGGCCAGTAGGCCCTACCCGCTCAGGGTGCGTATTTCCTTCGCTAGTTGCAGCGCCTTGGGATGCGCAGGATTAGGCAGAATAGCATCGCTTGCATGATTGAAGACTGCTCGATTCTGGCAGCTAAAGTTTGTCAACTCCTGCCTACCGTAGGATCCAAACTCCACCCCTGCCTCAGCACAACAAATCACAATTACCATCAAACCGCTCAAAGGCGGAAACCCTTTTCCCCTCACAGTGACACCCCTTCAACCCATCGACGAAATTAAAACTCTCATTGCAACCCAGTGCGGCGTCCCTGCATCCGCCCAGCGCCTCGTTTTCAATGGCAAGGGATTAACAGATGGTAAAACATTGTTGGATTATGAAATTCCAACTGGAGCCACTTTGAATCTGCTGCAAAAACCGGGCAGTGCCGCGCGCCCCTCAAAAGCGAGTACTATAGATGCGGCTGCGCCGATGCCTGCGGCTGCTGGGGTGAAGCGGAAGGAAGATGGGCCGGCTTTGAAGGAGAACAACGTGGGGGAGACGAACAACTTTGTGGTGGCAGCCAAAAAGAAGGCCACAGATGCGGCGTTCTGGGGGGACTTGAGAAATGTCCTTCGGGGCCATTTTGCTGACGGCTCGCACCTGGATAAGGTAGTTACCAATAAGCGAAAGTCCCTCTTTTGGAACAAGACTAAATGGGGCGGACTGCAGGTGTTCAACAATTTCACGCAGTCATATCAAGCTCTATGTGGAGATTTGGGGCCAGAGGAACGGGTAGCTTTTCAAAAAGCGAGTGCACAGAGTTGATTCCCAGAGAGAGTTCTTTTCTGTTTTCTTGCCATTATTGGGGGTTGCATGGTGTTGTCGATGAAGGGCCGTATGATGGAGTGACATGAAAATAAAAAGTAAACGTCGCCGACGCATATTTGTGAGACTGCCAGTTTCGAAATTGTCCTGTCAATTAGTATGTTTGGTCATTTTCTTATTCTTCCGTCTCTGAAAAATACTCTGAAAAGGTCTATAGAAATTGTATCAACCAGTGTTCTCCGTGCCCAAATTTGTATTTCATGATGTTACATTTTGTGTCGCGCGACCACATCATACTTCGCGCGCAGTCCATTCCGTCCTCTTCCCCCGATCTTGTTCTTCCGTCTGTTGGAAATACTTCTACACAGTCTACAAAAAATGAGCCTCCTCGAAGCTATTGACCCGACCGCCGTTCCTTTTGTTGGAGACCGTGAAACCAAAGAGAGAATACGGCAGCAACTCATATGGAAAGGCACCAAGGTGGCTGCCGGGGTCGCCGCCGTGTCTACAGGTGCCTCGTTGCTTGCCAACAAGTACAGCCAGTTCTATCGAAGCTTGCCGTTGGCGGCAAAGGTACTTTCCGAGGAATATGAGGTGAAAAAATGAACAATCAATCCAAGAAATGAACCACCGACGCTATTCTTTCCTGGCGTAGACGGGAATCATCCTCGCGATCACAACCGAAACCTTTTACACCTACACCAGTGAGAGATCCCCCACTTTGCGCCGGGCGTCACAAAAACCGCATCCTCTCATTTAAGAACTCTTCCTTCCACGACATTTCCAGATGCCAAGTCGATCGAAATCGCCACCAGAGCCGCCGACGAAAATCCACGCAATCCCGAGGCAAGAGAGGACTATGAGTTCGCGCCCCCGCCAAAAGATGCAATAGACCCGCCCATGTGGCGGGCTATCAAGAGGACGCTGCTTGAACATCGGTATTCTGTTATCGGTGTGTCCCTTTCTTGTGTGAACTGTTTTGTGGCGTTTCTTGGTATATGTTCGATCCTGACCCTTTCTTTTCCCCCCAGGTGCCCTTTGGACAGGTCTTGTCGGTGGCAGCATGCTGTACGAATTGAGAACGAAGCGGATTGCTGGCGGTGACAGGTTCAAGGTCACCGATGCGAAATTGCTTGCTGCGTGGTCAGGTAAACATTGCATCTTTACCTTCTTCCTCCATGTTCCTAAGGTTTGCTTGTATCATTTATTGTAGTTCTTGTTGCGTCGGGAGTTACGGCCGGTAGTATTTGCCAACGAACCAACTCCGTCGACTGCGCACATTTTGACTTCCGCTGTATCCACCCCTGCCGCAGGTATGATGTTCCAAGAGCACACACCAAACGCATGGCCGACGGAAAGACCGCCTCCGTAAGCTTCCTTGTTATAAATCGAAAATTGGTGAGACTTGTTGCCCTTCCCTCGTTCGAGATTTAGCCCAACCTCCAATCCATTCCCCGCTAAGCGTACTATACGTCTCCGCAGAGGAGTTCAATACGTCCCGTACATTCATTCGGGTGGAGAAGCGTTGGAAAACCACCGAGTCCTGCAGTTTGTCGTGTATAAATTATTTTTCGAAACATCAGATACTTGTTTCATCGCTGCCATTTGCGCTGCGGGGTATCCAATGCTGGCTGGTGACCGACATGTCGGAGTTGCCATACCTCGATTGCCCATCAAATACGAACTGCATTGCAGAGCTTGGGAATTTCCACTGTTCAAATGAAAGGATTCGCAGACCTAACCTGCAATCCCTACTGGTCAAAAGTAACTGAGCGCTAGCAACAGTTTTGCCAGAGGTAATAAAGATCTATTTTCCCGAACGCAGACGTCGTCGGTGTAGTATAGTGGTAGTACGCCGCGTTGTGGGAAGTCCTCCGACTGCTTGCAAATCCGCGTTGACGCTGGTTCGATTCCAGCCACCGACAAAATTTGGCCCTCAAAACCTGTCCCATAATTTTTCTTTTGCCTACAGTTTGAGTAGTTCCATGGATGGATGGAGTCTTCGCCGCTCCAACAAGCAACGGAGGCCAAAATATCTCCAAAATGTGTGGATGGAGTCGTCGCTGCACCAACAAACAACGCAGACACTTCCTTAAGTTATTATTTTTAAAGATCGTACAACTTTACAACTTTTTTTGGTCCTTTTTATAGTTTTTATAG